TTTTTTTTTTTTTTTTTTTTTTGGGCAGCCGTAATGGAAATCTCCATCCGAACTTCCGGAGGAAGGAAAGATCCCGAAGATCCTCCGACGGGACGTGGGAATTTTCCTCTGCGGTTCTTCCGCCACGTCGTGGTTGGTTTATCTCAGCTCGAAACCAAACCGGGTTTCAAAAACGTGGGGGCCTTGCCCAAACCTTCCCCTTGGCAAGATTCCCACGGGCCAAGAGACGACATCATCCCATCCCATCATCCCATTCCCATCATCATCCCACCCCACGGGCCGCATTCCCCTCCAAGATGCCCGCGAAACACCCGTGGTGTCCCCACCCTCCCTCCTCGGCCACCGGTTCGACTTACGCTCGTCGCCTTCGTTGCCCTTCACCTGAGCTCGCGCCGGCGACGGGGTGGTCAGCAGCAAGCCGGCTGCGAGGATGAAGATGGGGATGAAGCTGAAGGCCCCGTGCCCGTCACGAGCCATTCCTGGGGCAGAAAAATCAAACTGGATCAGTTCCGGGGTCACGGGAGAGCGGCCGGTGCCACGGGAGAGCTACAAGGAAGGTCCTAAGTGGTGTCCCACGTGGGATGGAGACGACGTGACCAAGATGTTGGCGGTGTTTTGGTGCCCCTTCACCCTTACAGACCTCGAGGTGGTCTTGGACCTTCTTCTCCACCTTCTTTCGGTTGACTTCAGCTCACCGGTGGCACCAAACCCACCAGGAAGGACCACGTCCCTCCCAATCCCTGTGAAACTGGGAGATCCGAGGTAAACCGGGATACGGAACGTGTCCCCACCAAACCCAACCACAACTGAGCCACTCCGTGGGTTGAGGACGTGGGGATGGACGCATCCAACCCGTGGGAGATGTCCACCAAGAGATGGGGGATCCCGGGATGCCTGGTTCCCACGGCATCCATCCCTTGGGGGTCAGGGGGGTGGGGTGGGATATCCTGGCCACGGGGCTGGACTCACCTGGTGGAGAAGAAGGACAGGGCCGGCTCGGTACGTCGGGAAG